AAAGATGCGTCAATTACTCGCAAACCTCAGTCACATTAAACCTGTTGAGTCTGGCGGACTTCATCTTCTGATTCTCAAGTCCTTATCGGCCATCATCTCGCCTGCCGCAAATGACCTGTTCAACAAGTCGCTGTTCGAAGGTTCATTACCGATTGATTAGAAATGCTCGGTGGTAAGGCCGGTTCCAAAAGGTGGTGACCCCAGCAAAGTAGACAACTACAGGCTGCTTTGTTTGCCCAGAAGATTGTGAGGAAGAGTTTGTTGCAACTGTTCCGGTCAAAACATCTGACGCCCGCACAGTACGGCTTCACGCCTAAGCGTTTTTGCGTCACCAACCTGCTTGTGACATGGATGAGTGATTGTAAGCAATGGACCAGAGAAAGTCTGTTGACGTGATCTACTAGCTTACAGCAAAGCATTCGACAAGGTGAACCTATTAGGTCATCTGCAAGCTGAGAGTGTGCGGTGTTGGCGGTTCACAGCACCGGTTGATCCAGGACATTCTCGTTGGATAAAAGCGGGGGAGCAAGTCTGTAGCCACCTGACCGGCTAGTATCCTTCGACCAATGGCCTACCATAAGGCACGGTTTTGATTTATATCAACGATCTACCTCAGTTTATCCTATCACCACGTGCCTGGTTTGCGGACGACCTGGAGAGGTGGGGAGTGATAGACACTTCCGACGACCGCGGTCTACTTCAGCAAGATTTCAACCGCCTTTCCATGTGGTCTGCAGAAGTCCGACTCCCGGTCAATCCATCCAATTCGGTGTTCATGAACCTGGGGATAAGTGGGGACGGCCGAACATTTACACTTAACGGCCAACCGCTACATCCCACATCCTGCGTGAAGGACCAAAGCGTGCCATCACGCTGTGATTTGAAATTTGTGGACAACACGAACAGGCTACACCGACACAGACTGCGCTTGCACTTGGCGCTCAAACGCAGCTTCTGCATCTTATCTAAAGAGATCTCCACTCTCCTCTTCTTCTCCATCATCATACCAACGCGTTAAGTTCGGCTCAGACAATTTTCAGTACCTCATGGAAACGATGTTACAAGAAATATTATACGCCGCAATATACCTAGACAATGTCATTGTAGTGAGATCTAATCCAGAAGAATTATACGAACGAACCGAACATGCCCTTGACAGAATAAAGGAGTATGGGTTCCGCCTGAGAATGAACAAATGTGTTTTTATGACTTCCATTAAGTACCTCAGCTTTATCATTAAACATACTGGGCGACGACCTGATCTATTAAACATCAAAGCGATCAAGCGTATGCCCCCACCTAGGGACGTAGTGACATTAAGATCGTTCCTTGGTATGAAGGGTTATTATAATACCTACCTACAGTCCAAGCATGGCCTACTCGAACCATTACCCTGATTACTGATGAAAGATGTTCCATGGATCTGGACTAACGAATGCCAGGAAGTCTTGGACAAGGTCTAATCATCACTAAGTTCCTAACTGGTGCTAACACCTTACGATCGAAAGCTGCCAGCCAAAGTGATATCGGATGCATCCAGCTACGAAGTTGGCGCAGTCCTTTTGCACATTCTCCCCGACGGGTCTGAGAAGCCAGTCGCTCATGCCGCACGTTCGCTGACCACAGCAGAAAGAAATCATGGCTCTCGCTACTGTATTTGCAGTGATTCATTTCCACAAAATGCTATATGGCCGTCATTTTACCTTGCTAACGGATCACAAAACCGTTATTGCAATAATCGGCTCCAAGAAAGGAATTCCGGTATTTACGGCTATTCGCCTGCAGAAATGGACGACAACATTGCTGGGGTACGACTTCAACACCAAGTATTGATCGAAAAGCGACATTTATCAGGCCGATGCGATATCACAACTGTTGGACGAACAGCACCAGCCAGAAAACACTGTCATTGCGAATATCTTTATATAAACGAGAGTCAGCCTTGTACTCTCGGATACTGTGAACCAGCTTACGATATCTTTCAGCCAGATCCGAGACGTCACTTTACAGGACCCGATGCTGTCACAGGTGAGCACGTTTTACCATTCACAGTGGCCGTGAAAAATTTCGGACGCGCAGCTACGATCTTGTTCCAGAGACGAATTACATTATCAGTCGTCAGGACTGTATTCTGTTTGGTGAAGGCGTTGTTATTCTGGCTGAACTCCAATCAGTGGCCAAAGAGTAGTATCACGCTGGACATCCTGGTTCCAACAGAATGAAGGCTTTAGCAAGGAGTTATATGCACTGGCCGTTTATGGATCCTCCAATTCTTAATCAACACGTTCATGTTTAAAGCTTGTCCTAGCAACTAAATCACCGCCGAGGCCTACGAAACGATCGTCAAGGGCTCACCTTGACTTTGCTAGACCTGTTAAAGGACGGAACTTCTTTCTGTTTATCGATGCATAAGGCAAGTGGCCCGAGATCTTGCAAATGTCGGACACTTTAACATCGGCCACGATCATAACCCTCAGGAAAGTATTCAGTCGGTTCGGTTTTCTGCGAACACTAATATCCGTCAATCTACCTCAGTTCACCACTTCACATTTTGCTGAGATTTGTGCGTCACACGGCATGGGGGACGTGCGCTCACCTCCTTATCATCCACAGTCCAATGAACAAGTTGAGAGCTTTGTGGTTACTTTCAAAATGGATCTAATCAAATCTGAAAGAGACGGAACAATTCTAAAGGTCCTACCGACTTTGCTAACATACAGGATTACGCCTATGCCACAGGTACCTGACAGAAAGTTCCCAGCAGAATCGCTTATACTCCGAAGGTCTTGAACGAAATTAGTTCTGGTAAGGCCGCTTGATAGAACTCCGAACGAAACTGGATAATGAAACAGCAGTACAACCGCGATATGTTGACGATGGACAGGTGTTGACAAAAGACCATCGGAACGACAAATTCTCTTGAACACCTGGATTGGTTATATAAGACTTGGCCATGTCTGCTATGAAGTGGCCGTAGGCAATGACATGTGAGTTCACCCTACCAACCAACTCACTCGACAAAAGACCAGCTACTTTAGTCGCACCTTTTTTAATACTTTTGGACATTTTCAAGCTGTCAACGACAGAGGTTACTCAGCAAGATAAGCTCATCACTCCACCAACCTCTCCTGTATCTGAGTAACAGTCCAGTAGATGCACGGATCGCTACCGAGTCCCTGTCATACCGCTCCAGACCAACGCTAGACTGAAGTCATATAATAGTGAACTTCAGATGGGATGTTAGGAGGAGCACCTGAAAATGGATCTGTGAACCTTACACAGGCCAAAATCCAACCTTTTCCGGTAATTCAATAGGATAATTGCATTGCTGGACCAAAAGAATGTTCTCAAGCAACCTTATACTATTAGTAGTAAATCATATAAGAGAACACAGAACATTTAAGTGGGTCACTATGAACGCATACATAACGATAGTCTGTCATGTAGTTGTCTCGTCTGACGGCCACTAAACTGGTACCCAAACCTTTTCCTTCCTGGTCGTCCAATCGGACTGGTCAAGCTTTCGAACAGCCAATCAGAGCGGCCCGGCGCGACCTTGGTGGTGATAACAATCTACCTCTCCTATCCTTAGTAAAGCGGACGCATCTGTTCGCTTGTAAATCAATTGCTCCACATGCCGCAGTACCGATCTGGTCGTTTTAGTAACTACCTACTCACTCTACTGATCACCGATATGGGTTTGATCAGACTTGACCGGATTTGGCAGAAATCAAGCCCCAAACGGCATCTTTTTTCACGTTACAACTACACTAGACATCCGCTACCGTCTTCATAGTACCTCAGACCCTCGTTTGGTATCAGTATATACCAGGATATTTACCTGCAATCGTCCGGTGTAGTGCTGAGTGCTTTGCATGAATTGCGCTCACGTTCTACAGATTATACTTGCTGTTCGCAGTGCTACTTTTGCCTCTGAGTCGAGAACTATCTACTCCTGCGGGCATTGGCATATAGTATTCGCAACTGTTTTGGTGTAATTCAAGTTGCCTGCTCTGTTTGAATGTTCACAGTTGTGTTCGGCGCCGCTACTGTATTACCACATAAAGTAATTTATTTCCATCACGGTTGGCACTGAACTTACTCGTAGATTGCTCGGCGAGCATATTCATACTTGCTCCAGCAGTGAGTAAATCCAGACTCATTGATCACTTGCAATGTTTTATCTTCCTTTAGATGCTTCTCGATTACGGACCACTTATATCCGTTTTTTGAAACATGTGGGCTCATTCACAGTATTATATATGATTCCATGCTGGCTTCTAACTCCATTTTACTATGACAACCTGATATAATGCTGATATGCAGGAGATTTCATTTGTGTCTACAGAATTTCCCGATTTATTTACACCCATACTACTGAGGCTGATGCTGCAGTCATACCCTTTTGTTTTGGATTTTCATCCACGGCTCCTGAGTACCATCATTGACATTTCAGTTACATGGCTGTCCACTGTCTAACGTTCCTACGGGTCATCACGTTTCCCCAGGCCATCTAATAACTCGCCATGGGTTTCTGGAGCATCACTTGAACTTTATCGCCTCCTCACAGCACTTCCAACTACTTACTAACCGCCCCCTATAATCTCTGCTAACCCGCTTCCTCACCGGTCAATTCCTATGCAAGCAGAATACCGGCCACCACTCGGGAGCTCTTATTGTCCCTGTGTACACAGTTGCATCTGGCATATTTCTCGTCATTACTCTGGTGCGAGTAATCCGCGAATTTAATTGCCCGACAGGAATCTCAATCGCACCGTTCGTGGTTGCACGTAAGCATTTGTCCACCGAGTTACCGAAATGTTCGCAGGTTCATTTCGCCACTCGTTCCTAAATTTTTCGCTGTTGATCTCTTTTTATATTGACCATAGTTTACTTCGTACCATTTTGAGACCGTTTTTACCATATTGAACTGTTGCAGTTATGTATCACCATTACACTACTGACCTAGTCATTAACTGTCTGCCCCTTAAACACCTCAGATGGGATTTGCTGGATTCACTATCGAAGCCTTTCCAACGCCTTCGGGAGGACCATTTCTTCTAAACGTGTTGAGTAACCTCGACTTGATGGACGTGGTTTCCCCTTTGGATCATGCTGCCTTGGCTCGCAATGATGTGTCGACAACGGCTACGGTGTTGCATCGCCTTTTGGAATCGGCAAAGTCAGCATTACTCGCCACACAAGGACTTGGGGATCCTTACGACAGTCTCATTGGTGCGTGAGGTTTTTTCTGGTTTTGTGTTGTTCGTTCACTTCTACCTGCGACAGTTTCCATGCCATGCGTCTACATTAGAAGCAGCAGCAAAACCAGCTATTGCCTGTTTGGACTCACTTTTCTGACGATTTGCATCGGTTCGCTTTTTCGTACCTCTGCCTCTGACAACCACAGCTAAATATTAGACGTGCTCCGAATGTGGTTACCAGATAACATTCCACCTACATCGCTGCGTAAAATCAAGTTCTTATACAATGGTGACCAGTTCCTTGAGTAGGATGAAGAACCACATCCAAACTGCCAGTACGCGGTATTTTAAAAATAACGCTAATAGTATTGTTATAACTAAAAATATAAACGCCATTGCTCCATCCGATTCTTGATTGGACCACTTGACGCAGCACTCCTCAGGTGCCTCTCCTATCCGAGGGACGCGTTCAGCATAAGTATCTTATCTTACTTCATGTGTTTCTATTGTTATATAATCAAATCAAGTCAAAATACGCTTTGTGAACCCTAATGAGTTCATTTGCAGCATTTACACCACCACTTCGGACACCTGGATGATAATATCAATATCAATAGGGAGAAAAAATACACACAAATGTCACTCCAACATCCGCTTGCGCTGTACGTTTATAAATTTCGCCGGGTCAACAAGCGCACATGATAAATAAGTCAAAACAGTATTACGATACGATGACGCACTGGAGGATAAAGCTTTGAATTTCGGGCATGCAGAAGAGAAAGAACACGTTTCTGAATGCTCACTGTTTACTGCATGAAATCGATCAGTTAGTACCTTAGAAAGAGAATTATTGCAGGCATCAAGATGTCTAGAAATGATCAACTCAACTAAAGAATTTTTAGACAAGCCGCTGCATCTATACATGTACTTTATAGAGCTTACTAATAAAATATAGTCTCTCTGAGGCAGTCCGGGGAAGGTGATAGGGGAGCACTCTATAGTCAATGGGGAGTAATGCAATCGAATACACAAACTGGATTATTAAACTACGTTGTATTAAAAACACCTTGGCTATAGCATTGAAGACTGGTAGCTCAGATGGCGGTTGAACTGTTCGCCGAGCTTGGCAATTTCGTTGCAAACGTTTCGCCACCAATCGAGGTGACATCTTCAGTGCGTAGTTGCTTGGTGTGCAATAGCATAGAGGATCTTCGATGAGAAGCTCCTCTACGCTATTGCACGCCTCACAACTACGCACTGATGATGTCACCGCGATTAGTGACGATACGTTTGCAACAAAATTGCTAAATTCATCGTACGGTTCAATCGTCATCTGAAATCACCTTCAGTCTGGAAAGTTTCACAGAGATGCGTCGACTAAAAATGTTTCTGTGACAAAAGACGCCGAAATACTTGTCAGTGCATGATCTGCGTATGGGATTTTCGTTCACAATAAGGGTGAAGAAGATAGCTATGGGAGACTGCAACTCATCACCACGAAGAAAATAAAACATACATCACTACATTTAGGAGCGTTAATTTTAAAAAATCTGGATGAAGATCACTTTACTAAATCTTCCAACCCAAGTTTAGGTGATGAGGAATCCTGAATAGGGGTGCAATACATCCCAGCACAACATCGTCAGCATATTTGCATCCTATAGATGTGGTTTGTACAGAGAGACACTCAACATATAAGGAAAATAGAAAAGGTAATAGGATCACTCCCTGCAGAACACCACAGCCGACCCGGAAGACAGAGGATTTCTTACCGTTTAACTTGTTGAAGCGAGTGTGATTCATCACGCAACAAATTATAGACAACCAGGTGAACTCCATTCTTGAACAGCTGTTCCAACAACATTGACCTCTCTAGGCTTCCAAAGGCATCCAAGGAAGCAAAACCGTACGGATTTACATTTTGTTATAATGCAGACGCTACAGAATGAACAAGATATCCCACTGCATCCAATATAGAGCGCTGGGGTCTTTATGTAAAATGGTAGGTGTCGACCTCAGGAGTGTCTGCAAAAATCCTCGGAATTAACTTTTTTCGTAAATCTTTACAAGCACTGATGTATACTCAATCGGATGATTTTTTGAGATCCATTTTTGACCGACCTCCAAATGTCTGGGACCACGCCCGTTGTGAAGCATTGGTTAAAGAGATCTGCTAATGTAAGAGAATCAGCACGATGTTTCAAAGCTATTGGTGATAGAGTATTCGGACCACTGGCTTTGTCTGACTTTTGAGTTGCTTGTGTACGTTGCTTTGGTCGAACGGCACAGCTGGACTTGAGCGAATGAAGACGAACAAGTGAGTGAGCTTGGGAGGCAGAACTAAACTCCGAATTTGGTTTGCCCACATCCATTTCACCACTCTGGCTGCAGACGCGCTTACCACAGAGCTGCTTCAAAAGCCTCCATAGATCACGGCAATTATGATTGCCTAGAACCGCTTCGACCTATAACTTGTTCATCCTTTTTATCTCGAACTTAACTGCTGAGGTTAGACTTCTGACACGAGTAGTCATCTTGCACTTGTAAACCCATTCTTTCATCCTTCGAAGTCGCTTTAGCAGTGGTGATAAACGATTATCCGCTCTTAGGTAGATCGTTTCAACAGGGCAATACATGTCTAACCAATATTTGATGTAGTCTATAAGATGGTCATATTGAAGTGCAGGTCCTCATCAGTTAAATAAGACATCGTCTGGAGCCGTGTGATATTTGCGAAGGAGCAATTTCGCCGTCTGATCATCTTGTAAGAGCCTCTAGTCAGTGTGAAAAAATTGGATCTGTTGTATATGATTCGACACAAATTTTAGACACAATGATCTGAGTTGCTCAAAGGAGCCCGTTTTCCTATGGAAAACAACTGTCGCTTATTTTTTTATACAGCATCCAACTGGGTATCTTGTCTGATCGAAAAGGTCACTGGATCTACCAAGGCAATTATTCTCAGGAATGTTGTATCCTTTTTATTAAAGTCGTCAGCAACAATACCGATAGAACAATCCAATTTAAGCAGTAGCAGTGAAGAAACCTGGTCCACAAAAGCTTCCACTCCGAAGCAGATGCGTCAGTAGCAATATAGACGTTTCCAGCGATGACTGAAAGCCACTCAAAATTGTCGGTTTGCATATGTGAAAATTGCGGTTGCCGAATCGCACCAACATCAGTTATTGTAAGTTATGACGCCACCATCACGAAGTTGGGGCTTTCCAGGGTGTTCAGATCTGCTGGAAAAATAACCCTCGAGTTGAATAATTCCATTTTCCACATTTGTATGCAATCAACATTCTTGTAACAGAATGATTTTTGTATTTACATACTCATTTCGCTGCGCATTGGCACAGAGATCACTAATTTTACCAGGAAGCGGGCGCACATTGCTGGAAAGTATCCGTTGGACATGCGTTTTATCGACAGAACGGCGACTGAGACCAGGTTGCCAAGCAATATGATGCTTTCTCTTTTTTCCAAGACGTTTCTTCATAATTCGTTTCGACTTGTTCCTGACTTTATGACGTAATTCGATGGAGCACGGATTTTACGGGGAAAATTGACGGAGTAGCACATGCTTGACCTTGAGACTTGTACGGAAAAAAACGTATTGTCTCAAGGATACAAATGAATACAAACACAATATTCCAACGAGTACCGCAACAGTCGACTTTTAAAGGCGCTGTCAAAAAGCACCCATCATATGAATTAAATATGACCGTCAACAGTTCCACTCAACTGCGTATGCCTTCTTGAGATAGTGCGCTTTTATTCGAAATCTTGTCAAGCTTTGCCTCTATATTCCTTCCTAGTGCACATCCGTCTTTATTGTTCAAGCGTTCTCCTTGTGTTGAGACGTGATTTGGTCTCTTGTTGCTCCCTTAGTGGTCGGTTTGCTTTTGTGCCTATACTACTAACTCCTGACACAGTGGTGTCTAATTTTGGAGCTCCACAATGTCACCGTTTAGCGTCCTCGGAACCTGGCCCTACGCTGCTCAGATTACTTACTAGTCAGCTAATTATTTGACTTATGAATTGTGTCACTTACCCCCAAGTTGGTAAGTTCCACAGAATCAGCAGATAGATTTTCTTGATGACTTTTGAGAACACACTGGCACTCTAAAGCAGATATGTCCCATGCCTTAGAAACAATGCCTATAGTAGCCAGTGATGCGGTATCCTCAACGATGATGATCATAAATTCGGTTAGCCTAATAGCACTGAGTAAGACTGGTTTGTCTTTGTAGTACGGGTACCAAATATGTCTTTTGAGAGCAAATTAGATGAATCGCGTACAGCAACGTCGACATTGAGTTGCACTGCTCACCAATCCCCTACTGGGCTAAAGATCGAGTTGTTGTGTTTGTTTTGGTATATCAATCATCGCTGTTGTGCGCAGCTTGACCGACTGTGCATTGTGGGGTTTGGCTTCGAGCCACATGGCCGATAGGGGACGTCCATCTAACACCGACGTTATTAAAAGTGTGCACTTAGATGAGCGACTTGTGTTGAATAGTATGCTGCACAGCTTACTCGGTCAAATATACTCGATCTATCTAGGATGCTCGTATCACCATTAGTCCCGAAATGAATTGGCAATGGAAAGCAGTACCTACGGCCTTGTTCAACCGTTTCCAAAAGACGACAACCATTCGTTTGTATACCTGACCACTCTGTTTAGCACAACATAATACACAACGTAGGTATCTCCAGATTGGGTTTTGTCAATGTCTATGTGCATTTTCCAGAGTTCCAACGGACGTCGTATGGAGACAATCGACAGATTAACCGTGTTAGCCTTGTGCCTAATCTACACTAACTCTCAGCTGAGCCAGTGAAAGTTATCCAGTCTCAGCTCCTGCGGTAGATACGTTTATTACTCTCCAATATTTTAGTACGTACTGGAACGATATCAGACGTCCAATTAGCCCAGCCTAGTTATCTTCCTTTACTTAACTTTGGTCCAATTACTAGCACTTGTCGACATTCCGACTTCCGGGTCCCTATGGGGAACTACGAGAGCTCTCTCTGGAGTTCCCCACAACGGCTTGTGTTGGCATCTGTTGTTCTGTTTGTCCTTTCTAACTCTACGCTGTGCATATCTCTGTTCCGGAGTTTCCACTAAGCGACCACTTGACAAAAGTCAAGCTCTTTTATACTGAGAAGCAATTGCTTTACAGACGCCTTTGTATCGATTGACACAGGTTAATGCGCACTCCGACATTTGCATCACACCCTTCTAGTAGCCGTCGCAGAGTTAGATGATGAACCAGTATCGAGCAGCGATTAAATGTGATCATTCGGTCTCTTCATTCAGTATTCTAATTACTGTAGGTTTCTACACCTGATTTATACCCGAATAACCTTTTCACAACTTAGTCATTCATGGACTTCCTTTTCGTGTGCTTAAAGGTCTATGTGTTAAACAACCCGTGACTGCGTTACATCATCAGGCCTATTTCCTCCATCGTGCAATGATTGCGCATTTTAGTTTTGCATCGAGTCAACTTTTGTTTTTGGGTTTATTTCCTTACTTTCACTTTTTTTCCTGTCGCAGCAAATTCAGTGACCAACGCACAGGACAAGCTGCTTTCACTTGCTGCGCGCAAGTCGTTTGTGAGTACCGTGAGCGATGCAAACGCAACATCTGCAAATCTCTCCTTACTATCCCAGTTTAACGTAAGTCAACAGACTATTTCTTGTGTAATCTCTCATTTTATTCCTGGTAAAAGTCCTGGTACTTTGAGGATTAACAAAAAAGCGTTCACAGTTGGCATTTTTTATGCCGCAACTTCTGAAGCATAACCGGATTTGCTGTTGAAGGTGCAATTCAACTATTTGTGACTTTGCTGAACAAAGTATCATAGAATATGTAGGTGGGGTTTCCAAATTAGGCTGATGAACTAGAGTCTTTATGACATGGTTATATCGTTCCGTACAATAGTGCTATTCCATTGCTACGCTCGTGCTGCTGCTGCTGCTGATGCAGTACCAAACCGGATAGTTGTCACTTGAATGCGACTTTAACATTCTTCTTCCTGCATTTGCCGCCCTGTGTTTATAGCTGTGATTACTAGGCAGCAGATGTGATTATCTGCAACCATATCCGAAAAAAATTCACGAAACCCCCGTTAAATGGTTTACGATTATTCACTGGTTCAGTCGCTTTGGCTATGGTCAACAATCCTGTTCGGTGCAACCATGCATACTAAATTATCAGCGGGTTAGCGATTCGCATCTATTTTAGCTTGCTGAGACCCCGAACACGTGCAACCATAGACGAACTCCTGAAGGCAACTGGACTACATAGCCAGCTTCGCTTTGCTTTGCAGCATATCGGTATTGTCTTTGGTGACCATGAACCTAAACACTTCGGTTACACTACAATCTGTAAAGTATGGAAGGGTACTTTAATGAGTTACATTAATTTCATACTACTGTATTTAGCCACACGGTTAGCAACATCTGGCGAGGCACTGGATGCCAAATGGATAGCACCTGTAGTCGCTCGATGAGACCATATCACCATAGAATTGGAATTTTGCAGTGGTGCAGTGCCATTCCTTGACTACACTGTTCGTTGGATTGGAGGTAACTGAAACACTACGATATTTCGTGAGCCAGTGGAAACAGATGGGGTACTGCATTATAGTTGTGATCACCTTATCTCTGTTTCACGGTGCCAAGACTCTTTGCAGATGGGAAGGCTGCTTGGAAGCAGGCAATGATTCGCTTACTGCATAGTAGATAACTGTGATGGTTAGTGGAGCACACATTTACAAATTGCCACGGAATGGAATGGGACGGTAACAAAATCTTTAGGCAGAAGGATCTTCGGAACGTACGAACCAAGGAAATAATAAGGGTAATTTGCCAACACCTTAATGATCCTTTCGAAATGGGTGCATCTGAAGATGTAAGATGACTCTGCATTCACACAATTAGTCGCAACAAGTGTGCAACTGTTTACATTGGTCGAATCGCGAACGAGCTGTGCACCTGAACAGACGGGCACAAAGACACCGACGGTAAGCAGCGGACCCAAGTTGCTCAAGGCCGACAATCCGCTGCGCATGAAGAAATCGCTCTACCGTATGGTCGTGCGATTGTTGGCGAAACTCTTGGAGCTTGGGCGCAAGCCGAATTTCATTTTTGTACTTAACATTTAAGCATTTACCATCTGGGTTGAAACTCTGAGTACACGTGAACCCCCTGAATTTGTTTAGGCTGTAATAATGTCTGTGATGTATATTGATCATCCCTGTGCTTTTTTATATTTTTTATTCTCTTAGTCTGACATCGGGAGTACGGGACTTTTGACAACCGATTCTGCCGGCCTCACTGTCGTCATGAGTTCATTTCTTGGCTCTCCATTCGGTACTGGAATGATTGTCCCCCGTACCGGTGTACACTTGAACTCGGCACTCCGTCTCTTTTCCACTCCGGACAAAGCGGATCTCAATTCCATCGCAGCTGGACGTCGCCCACTAGTTCCTATCTCACCAATTTACGTTTCCACTACACATCGCAAATGCGGTGTGCGTTTCGGTTTGGTTAGCCCTGATGGGTTTTCTGGAACTTTCGACGCCACTCAGGTAAGCCTAGAGATACAGTGACATTCCGGAGCCTAACACGCGCTTAAAATCCTTTTGAGTGTTGTAAGTTAGAACTTCAGCCGCAGAAATTTTGGAGATGTACTTAACAGTTCCGTCTGTCGCTGCGACATTCTTCTTGTCATATGCTTTAGTCTGTGGGGCAATGTTTCCCAAGCAAATGAGTTGATTGGTCCTTACTACTAACCGCTTCAGCTATTTCTCTCATCGGTAGCAATACAAGCAAGCAACGACCAATACCATACAAACTTCACCACGTGTGAAATAAAAGGCTATTCTTGCTTCAACTAATGCATGGATGCTCCAACACTTGTTGATATGACGAAGAGCCGACCCCAATGGCGTCCGTGTTGTGAGTTTCTCTGTCCATTCCCTCCCCTTTAGATTCGCCTCCTATCTCACATCTAATATATGATATAATATTTAACATTATATTACTCTTTTTTAAATTTTGTACTGTGTTCTTTTGTATTGCGGCACATTAGCTGAGGTGTTTCTCTCCCTCAGCTAATGTAGTAGAGTGTGGCAATAATAACGACAAGATCCTAGTTTGACAAGTTGCTTGCAAACGTTCACCACCATGAGAGGTGGCATCGTCATTGCAGCACTAAGCAGGGTACAATCTTGTTGATAGAATCGTCGATCCATGATCACGTGCTGGTAACTTTTGAGGTAACAGTACCACTCCCGTGAACACCCACCTACAACCTGGCGAAATAAATGTGGAAACGCCTTAAATTTCTTATCTATGGATCGCAATACTCCATACCCAATGCCCAACAATTTCTACCAAAGCTCAAACGCTTACGAATATGTACTGATGTAACAGTCATAGTAGCATTCGAGGTGATTACTCTCTTTACTTATGTCAATTTGCAGGTAGCAATACCCGTCATCACAGAACGCTTGGACAACAGTGAACAACCTATCGAGAACAAGATGACCGAAAATGCATGTTAACCACCCCACTTGTACACCTGCTGATTGTTTTTCTGAGCTTGGTAAAGAGGTCGCATAAGTTTCACCACCATGCGAGGTGGCATCTTCAGTGTGGTAATATGCAGTGTATAATGCTGCTTATTGAATTGTCAGCCCGTCATCCACGGGCAGGTGACTTCTGAAGGCGGCAATTTCGATTTGCGCCATGTGATCTCTGCCCATTTGCTTCCACGGCTGAACCCCGTCTTGCGATTCGCCGGAGATCTTTTCTTTTCTGAGTTTGATGGTACACGGGGGTCGATGTCGATGCGCATGTTGAATCGAATTAGTAGAGGGAGTAACCATGCTTCTAGGAAACTCTCGTCCCTTTTCTGTGTTTGTTTGTTTTGAGCTAAAAAATCACCGTTTTTTGTGCCCAATTGAAAGCCATGGTCCCCCTCCTCATCCACATGCGCTGAGACAAGAGGACGATTGCATAATGTTTTTTTTTACAAGCCCCTCTGATTTTTCTTGTATTTCTTGTGGGACAAACCTCCTTCCTGTCTGCCCCCACATAGTGCATTTCACAAATTATTGCCATTTTATTTTTATTACACGACGTTTTTTGTTCGTTTCTTGTGCATTTCCTAATGTCCCTTTGGGGTTTTGATTAGTATTTTTTCTCAAAGTGGCCGTTGGCTTATGAGCGGACCACGATTGTTTGTGTTGTTTTGAGCAATCTGACAGTCATTTTCAGTTCCACAACAACCATACGACCTGAAAGCTTTTGGGAACTCCTGAACCTCTGCATGACCACTTATTTCCGCTTTGATGGACAAGTATACCAGCAACTGAGAGGAACACCCATGGGATCACCAATTTCGGGGCTCATTGCAGAAGCCGTAATGCAGAAATTGGAGCGCATTGCACTGCCATCCATCAGCCCGAAACTCTGGATACGATACGTGGACGACACCTTTGTCATCGTAAAACGGAACAGAGTACAGGCCACTCATGCTTTGCTCAACAGCACATTCGAGGATATCAAATTTACGCTTGAATTAGAGGAGGATAACAAGCTGCCATTTTTGGATGTACTGGTCACTAGGAATACAGATGGATCTATGGAAACGTGCGTATATCGGAAGAAAACGCATACGGATCAGATATTAAACTACTACAGCAATCACCCGATGAATCACAAGAAGAGCTGCATTCAAACCTTGTTCAAGAGAGCGGAAACGCACTGCAGCACAGCCGAATCGCGGAAACAGGAAGAGCATCACCTATATCGAGTGTTTAGAAACAACGGTTATCCGAGAAGTTTCATCAGAAGAAGCTTAAAGAAACGAATGCCTCAACAACAGCAGCAATCATCTGATCAACCAAACAAACGGATAGTGCTGCCCTACATCAAGAACGTCTCCGAACTAACAGGAAGATTGCTGCAATCACATGGAATCTCTGTGGCTCACAAGCCAAGTGCCACCCTAAGGAAATTGCTCTCAAGACCCAAAGGAAAAGTCAATGAAGCCGACCAATGCAATGTCATCTACCAGCTAAAATGCAGTGACTGCGATAAAATCTACGTCGGACAAACTGGAAGAAAACTTTGTACACGAATCACCGAACACAAGGCGGCCGTCAGAAGGCACGATCCACACTCATTGGTTTCTGCGCATGAAGATCAAGAAGGTCACCATTTCGATCTGGAGAGTGTAAAGATCCTAGCACATGGAAGTACAAAACACGAGAGGGAATTTTTGGAAGCCTGGTACTCTGCAACGCATGCAATCAATCGACACATCGAACTTGACGCAGTATACGCCACGCTACTGACGAAGGACCGACAACTCGATCGATTGAATCCGGTGGAACGTGTGACTAGACAACCCGAACTGGCGGCAGACTAGCTCGCATGAGCAAGCGGACAAAGGAGTTGAGGTCAAGGTCATCTGCCCATTAAGCAAGCTGAACACGGATCGAAGTCCCAACCAATAGGATTGCTCGGATCCGCGGCCAACCACGACGGTATAAAAACGCACGCACACCACGCTCAGCGCACTCTCACCGAGGCTCCTCTACGCTACTCTACGCTATCGCACGCCACTCCACTACGCACTGATGATGTCACCTCGATTGGTGACGAAACGTTTGCAACAAAATTGCCAAGCTCAGCGAACAGTTCAACAGCCATCTGAACAACCTGAGCTACCAGCCTTCAATTCTATAGAATAGGTGTTTCTCTTCTTCCCGTTTGGCTTCCACTGTACTGCAGTGGGTTTCAATCCTGCAACATAGTGTCCGCACGCAACTTATTTTGTGGCACTTTGGGTGATTGCTATAGAAGTTCAAAATTTGATCCGTATGTGTCCATTTCCTGTGAACGGATGTTTGAAATTCACCATCGCTTTTTCTGGTCACCAACACATCCAAGAATGGGAGCATGTTTTCTGCCTCTAACTCCATTGTAAACTGAATCCCATCCATTGCATTGTGGAACAGTTTGTGTGCGATTGCTACTTTACTGCGTTTCAGTATTACAAATGCGTCGTCGACATAGCGTACCTACAACTTCGGGTTAATAGCTGGTAGTAGATCTTCTAACTTTTGCATGATGATCGCAGCGATCAGACCTGATACTGGTGATCCCATCGGTGCCCCCTTCACTTGCTCGTAGATCTCTCCGTTGAACGAGAAGTTAGTTGTGAGGCATAGTTGGAGAAGCTTGCAAATGCTTGCAGTCGTCATACTCCCAATTTTCTCATATCTGTTGTTCAGGCGTTCTATGATGGCTTCTTTTACCAGTTGCAAATTGACAGATGTAAATAAAGCGGTGACGTCAAAGGAGACCATCGTTTCGTCATGATCTATATACAGGTTCTTGAGCTTCTCTAGAAATTGATTGGCGTTGTTTACGGAATGCTGCGAACCGGGCTCCCAAAAGTACACAAAGAGGGTGCTCCGTTGCGGCCAATTGTTTTACTTCCAGGTACACCCACCTACAACCTGGCGAAGAAATTGCGGAGGCGCCTCAAACATCTACTCAACGGTTCGCAGCACTCCGTAAACAACGCCAATCAAGTTCTAGAGAAGCTCAGAAATCTGCATATAGATCATGACGAAACGATGGTCTCCTTTGACGTCACCGCTTTATTTACATCTGTCAATTTGCAACTGGTAAAAGAAGCCATCATAGAACGCCTGAACAACAGATATGAGAAAATTGGGAGTATGACGACTGCAAGCATTTGCAAGCTTCTCCAACTATGCCTCACAACTAACTTCTCGTTCAACGGAGAGATCTACGAGCAAGTGAAGGGGGCACCGATGGGATCACCAGTATCAGGTCTGATCGCTGCGATCATCATGCAAAAGTTAGAAGATCTACTACCAGCTATTAACCCGAAGTTGTAGGTACGCTATGTCGACGACGCATTTGTAATACTGAAACGCAGTGAAGTAGCAATCGCACACAAACTGTTCCACAATGCAATGGATGGGATTCAGTTTACAATGGAGTTAGAGGCAGAAAACATGCTCCCATTCTTGGATGTGTTGGTGATCAGAACAAGCGATGGTGAATTTCAAACATCCGTTCACAGGAAATGGACACATACGGATCAAATTTTGAACTTCTATAGCAATCACCCAAAGTGCCACAAAATAAGTTGCGTGCGGACACTATGTCGCAGGATTGAAACACACTGCAGTACAGTGGAAGCCAAACGGGAAGAAGAGAAACACCTATTCGATTCGTTCGAGCGCAATGGATACCCACGCAGCTTCATCCACAGATGTCTAAACCACAAACCTATGAACACCGAGCCGATACCAAATGCAAGCAGGAGGGTCGTTTTGCCGTATATGAAGAACATATCTGAAATGACTGTCAGATTGCTCAAACAACACAACATCGTGGTCGCTCATAAGCCAACGGCCACTTTGAGAAAAATACTATCAAACCCAAAGGACATTAGGAATGCACAAGAACGAACAAACGTCGTGTATAAAATAAATGGCAATAATTGTGAAATGCACTATGTGGGGCAGACAGGAAGGAG